TCGATGTGGTTGGAGCTTCAGTACGATTGAAGGGGCATTTGCTGAAACATTCCAGAATTATTTTGTTCTCTGTGTTCTGTGAAGGTGAAGCTTCTGCAGCTTTGGTGAGTGGCATCTCAGTGGTTTGTACTGTAGGGTATTTTTGCAGCCAGGTCTTCAGTCACTCCCTCCTCCCCCGCGCTCATGCTGCAGGTTGTAAAAACAGTTCTGACAAACTCTGACTGGAGACGAGATCTTCAACCTCCTGATCTCTGACTGGAAACGGCTGCACCTGAAAATAGCCAAGAAGATAAATATCAGCACGGAGCAGCAGATGATGCAAGCACAGCTTACACACTATTAAGAAATATCACCAATAAAAAAAAAAGAAAAAATACAATAGTTAAAGTAAAAGTGGGGCCCAACACAGTAACAGTGACCAGCTGGTAGATTATGGTCATCTCCCATGATGCCAGCTTCTCTGACAAAGACTTGATCCAGCATTGAACCTTAACTAATATCTTACACTGTCTTCATCAGGTCTGGCCCCTTAGGACTTTAATTCTTCTATAATTCATCACAAACTGTGACTCCAATGCACCAAAAACTGATCTGAAAATATATCCTGCTGATGCCTTTCAAAAATACAGCTTCTTTTTCCTGACAGGATTTGACTGACTGTGATAGGAGACTACAGGACTGTGTGAAGTTCTGACCTTTGGCAGAAGAGCTGACCGCAGTTTCTGCAGTGATGCCGTCTCTCTGTGAGCGAGAACCTAACACTGCAGCTGGAACAGTTGTCAACCTGCTCGTCCTTCACCCAGTGATCAGCTGCAGAACGACCGGGCTGCTCACTCACAGACCAGCTGAAGACCCGACCGCGGCCATCGCCCACCAGGATCTTACTGTGGTCCCTAGATCAACGAGGAAGAGGACACACAGATTCAACAGTTAAAAATAGTTATTCCAGAATATAATTCACTGAGGCTGAGCAGTGTGAAACTTCTATTCTTAATTAAATCTAAATTAAAAAAAAAGTCGTACTTGGAGATGGAGAGTGCAGTGATTTCAGCTGGCTGGAGATTGTCTTTACGATCAAACGCTGTGTGCATGGTGAGTTTACTGCGGAAAACCAGCTGACGTTCCCACTTATGACCTGGACACAGACCAACCAACAGGGAACAGTGGTGAATGTGCTGCTGTCAGGTAAGAACAGATTTTACAAACAACCGTCCCTCTGACCAACCTGCCCTCAGCTGGTTGAAGGTTCGAGGATCAGCAGAGGTTGTCACTGATGTTGTTGTCATTGGGTGTGAGGGGGCGGGTCCTGGGTGAGCCATGTGACTTCTGTTCAGTCCCTCTGAGTAGTTAACGAAGACGAAGCCATCCTTCTCATCAATGCTGAGTGTGTCCGACCAGCGGTGTGAGTCGTCCGAGCCACTGTCCATCGACCAGGAAGCTGCTGCTCGACCAGATGGACCTGAGGTCAAGAAAAGGAGTCGGGAAGGGCAAAAAAAAGGAGAAGCAGTGAAACCTGGGGGTAATAAAATGAAATAGCAGGATATTAACATTATACAAACACCTGCAATGAGTAACTAACGTGAATTAGCCATTCATCACCATCAGTACAGTCTGTTTCCACCTGCACATGATATGCAATGCAAAACCCAGGACACACCTATATTTACATACAGCCCTCACTCCTGGCAACAAAAGCCAATGGCTATTAGGAGTCTGACTTACTCACACTTGGTTTGTTTGAAGGAGTTTTCCTTCAGTATTTGTTTCTAAAGACTTGCAGATCATTTTGTGCTAGTGAACGATTTGCCAACAACCAGATCTTATCCACAGTCGGCTTCCTTTCGGGTTTTTTTCTTGCCTTCACTGGAACATTTTGGAAGCAAAGTTGAAGAACCACAAGAGGGTTTTGTTTATGGCACAAATCTTTTCTGATATTGACTAAAAAGCTAGGGTGTGTATTAGATAATAAAGCTGATCTATTTACTAGGTATTAGCATTGGTTTCTGGACTGAATTTAAACACAACCAGAACAAATTCAAGATAACAACTTAGTTAGTTGCTGTTTAGTATAAGTATGAAGTATAAACTATTAATGTTCTATGATGTGTAATGTCACCTCTAGGCCTATGGGTGGCGCTGCCTGGTTGACTTCCTCCACCTGTTGAAGGGTTTCCTGTTTCTTTGGTCTCCTGAGTCAGACTGGGTTCGTCTACATCAGACTCGCTGCTGTCATCATCCCCGTTGTGGCTCTCACCACCTTCTGTGGTTACACAAAAACATGGAAATATAATAAAAAGTTTATTTTGTTTGGTCTCTGCCACTGAAATGTCTGCATCCTTGTTTTGAACTCACCAATCTTTTCATCGCCACAGCAGTCCGAAATATCAGGTTCCACAGGCTGTGGAGCCGGAGTTTCTGGGACCTGAAGAAACTCCATCCTCCAAAACTACAACAAGTTTAAAAAAAAACAAAGTGAACTGTTTCAGTCTTTTTTAAATAAATCATGACTTTTTTTTAATTAGAATGATCATAGTTACCCTGACAACGCCGTCAGAGTGACCTGTGACGATGACATTCTGGGTGTCCCACTCATTCATCTCTGACACACACACGCAGAGGATCAACTGACTGCGACCTGTGAATGTGTTAGCACTGGCAATCGGACTACCGTTTATGCTCCACACGTGAATGTAGGTGCCTGCACATGACACAATGTCGCCCTGGTGACATGAACAAAACAGCAACAACAACATACCCATGTAAACAAGTTATTATAGAACTGTATGTCACATTTACAAAAATATCCTGTCAAAAAATGGGTCAAATTTGGGTCATTCGTTACATCAATTAACGAGCTAGTCATTACAGTTAACGAGCTAAAGCTTGCTAAAGCTAAGTGTAGGTCCTGTAAACAGGACTTAGATGACAACAATACAGATGTGGTAATTTATATCTTTTATTACAGGAAGGGATGTCATCGCCTACCGTCAGTTCATTGATGCACAAAGCTGAGACAGGTGCTCGGTGACCTCTCAGCTGTGTGACGAAGGAGAGTTTGTTTAGGTCCCAGATGATACAGGTTCGATCCCGTGACCCACTCACCACAATGTGGTAAGCTGAGGATGCGGTCAAACATGTAACGGCATCCGTGTGTCCAAGCAATGCCTTCAAACCCAAAAAACAATATTAACCTCATCAGGTGATTCCTGATTTGATGAAGTGAACATGCACAAGGGCCAACACTTCTGACAAACATTCTTTGATTCAAAAATATAAACAATTTTAAGATATTTTATTACAAACATAATTTGTGTGTGTGTTTCACCTGTTTGAGCGTCAGTGTTTTGTTGCGTTCCTTGGATGTTCCCGTCTCCCACACACAGACAGCAGTGCTGGTTCCTCCAGTGATGACCAGTTTTGGGTTTGGACAGATGGAGCAGAGGATCTGACCCCACTCTGTCAGACACTCATAGACCACCAGAGCCTGAAAACAAAGACTGTTATCCTCCAGAATACACAGAAACACGGAAAAAAAATCTGCACAAGAAAAAAAGCATCCAGAGCCTGTAACAGAAAGAGTTAGCTCCACCCACCTTGTCAGATTCATAGTTGGCCAATCGGCAGCTGAGGTCAGCATAACCCCAGGCAAAACTTCTGGTCCAGGTGGGTGGGACCAGAACCTTATTCTGCTCCACAGCCAGGGCACCTTTGTCAGTGCACATGATCTGACCAACAGGTTCCTTGAGCTCTGAAACACAAAAACAAACTGAAGTCTGATTTCTTTTGAATGTGTGTTGTTGAGTTTGTGCTGTTGTTGTGTCTGTACCTTTAACAGGTGTCAGTGATGGCCTTAGATTGTCCAGGTGATGGAAGAAGATCTTATCACTGTTAGCATTTGGTGGAACACTGACCACATCTCCATTAGCTTTACCACGGACACGTTTTGGAGGGTGTGGTTTCTTAAACAGCTAAACACAGAAGAAATACAAACAAAAGTTGTTTAAAATACTAAAACATACATTGCAAATGTTTATTCAGTAGTTAAATCAATAAACTACAGCTAATCTTACAATAAACATGTAAAAGCTGTATGTCTGTACCTAAGCTTAAAGTTAAACTGTACACAAAACCAAAGCTAAGCTAGGTAACACAAACATGCTACAAAAAACAACTCTAAAGCTGGGTTTACAGTGAACACCATAGTTTTGAATACACCGTGTTAAGCTGCTGCTCAAACAAATATACATCCAGTTTAAACAGTAAGTCCAGTTCAGAGTTCTGTTTCTGACCTGCTTAGGAATTTGACCAAAGTTGTTTATAAAGCCAATGGTGGCTGTCTCCTTAAGCGGGTCGTTAATGTTGTAGATGTCCACCTGACCCTCATAGAACAGGTGGTGGAACACATTGACGGCCTCCACAGCAGGAGGACCCTGCTGCTTGTAGCCAAAGATGAGGTCGATCCACTCGTGGAGGTGTGCAGATACGTAGTCGCACTCCAGAGCCTGCAGGAGTAGGAATAAGGGAGGGTCAAAGGTGGTTGAGAGCGCCCTGTGTGACCCTAGTTCTGACTCTGGGTGAGCAGCACTCACCTCTCTGTGGACTCTGATGAACTCTCGAGGGTCGCCCTTCGCCCATGGTGGCAGGATGACGTCACCCAACTTAGTGCCGTTTTGTTTGGCTCCTGTTGGTTAAATCCTAGTTGTTAATATTTTGTGACTGGTTAATAAGTTTAACTAATAAGTTAACTGTTTAACGGTTGTTGAAGTGCCGGCTTGGCTGCAGTGTTCCTTATACATACCCAGGTCAAAGTTGTTAGAGTTGAGCAGGAACTCTGGGAGATAAAAGAACTCAGGAATCAGCTCTTTGACATCGGCCATGTTGTGTTTGGATGCAGAAAGCCAGGCTTCACGGACGCTATGGAACATCCTGTCTGCCAGGTCAAAGTGACCGCCCTTGATGACGACAGAGGCGTGGATTAACACACACAAACCAACTGACTGACTGACAGGTAAAGTCCACCCACCCACGTAAGTTAAATACCTGGAGTCGAAGAAAAATCTGGGTGAACGGCTCCATTCGGACCAGATAGGAAGCCACGATCATGGCTGAGGAGTAGTGGGTGCCGTAGTGATATGCTGGAGTTTCACCTTTGTAGGATGAAAATGTGAAGAGTTCAGGAATTGGAACAGAAAAATATTTTAAAAAGGTAGGAATTCAGGATCAAAAAAAGAAAAAGAAACAGCAACAGGCTAACAAGTCTCACCATTTGGATCCTCCCAGTCTTTGTATCTCTTCTTGTACTGCGTGAGTCTGTCGTCCGTCTGTGCGCCCATTGGCTTTGACAGGTTACGGAATGTCTTTGGATTGTTTAGGTCTAGCTCCTGGTTAGAAAGGTTTCAAGAACACATTTGTGTTAGAAAAAACAGGGAAGAAGGTTGATCCTTAAAGTTTTTCTCCTGCTCTTTTTTTTAAATTATTTTTTGAAGATGATGTGATGACAGATAATCACCTCAGCATCGTAGTCTGCCAGGATCCAGGGGAAGACTGGGTACTGCATGAGGTCATTGTAGGAGCGACCTGCTAAAGTGTTCAGGTGCATCAGGTACTGAAAGTTACTGATCTCTCCACGCTGCAACACACACACACAGAAACATACAGAGTAAGGAGTGTGCCAGCATGTCAGTTCAATGAAGATGTCATCCGCAGGACCCTACCTCCCAACGCTGAGTCACAGACTTCTCTCCGACCAGAGTGCTGAGTAAACCGGATCTGATGTGTCAGAAACAACATGAAAGTCAGACAGTAATCATCAATATGCAGTGAACATCTCTGATTGGTGCTGTGACTGTTGCTGGGCATTGTCTCACCCCTGTTCCACACTGGTGTTGGGTCTCTGACCTGAAACAGACTCAGAGCTGTCGGCCAGTGAAGGCACCACGGCCAGAAACCTGTAGGAATGTCAATAACAAGGTTATGGTTATGAAGTCACTTCCTGTCCTAGCAGTGACATAACTTTTATAAACAACTGAGTCAGAAAATTCCCCCAGGCCCAGTACCTCTGGTAGACTTTGTTCCGCACTCCTTTCTGGAAAGCCAACAGGTAGTTTCTTCCATCTGCTGAGAAGACTTCCACTGCCATGGGCTAAAGATTAGAAGAACAAAGAGGAGAAAAGTGAAAAGATGGAGAAGGATAATGAATGAAAAAAAAGCTCTCAGAGTTATTCATTACAAGCTTATTTATGCCTAACCAGACTTTTTTTCTCAAACAATTTTAGCTTTCTGAGCAGAACAGTAGTAAAAGTAGTATTTGCCCACTTTTATTTTAAGTACTGCTTTATTTTTTAAAAAGTACAGTAACATTTGTTATGCAAACAAAAAAGGATGCCCATCTCTCCTTTGACTTGAGTCACTTCAGTCAGTGTTGTTGGCCATTTTACATGAAGTCATTTAGAGATAAAAAAGTATTGTATTATATAAATATGGTGAGTATTAGAAACACTATCTAAAATTAAATACAATAAAATACATTTTTATAATTCTCCAGCTAATTTTGAGCAAGATTTAAGGGTAAGGAAACATGATCATATTATTTATCTATAAAACTGTGTGTGTGTGTGTTTTTGTGCATCAGTGTGTGTCTACCTGGAGAAGGTAGCGTCTCTTGTGGACCTCTTTAATGTCCTCGTAGTTAAAGATGCTGCAGCTCCTCTTCAGCTGACTTTGGCCTTGTCTGGCTCCTCGAGGAATGATGGCCTCATACAGGCTGCAGACAGGAAAGAGAAAGTTAAAATAGAGAGGACTGGATTGGAAGTATCCATTAATTGATGTGAGCTCAGACAGTTACTTCTGTGGCAGCGTATCGATGTCTCTGATCTCCCTGGACACAGTCATGGTGTAGCCATCAATAACGTAAAAATGCTCCTTCCCAAAGAGCAGAAGACCTTCACTGGTGTCCAGACCCTGAACCCGAGCACAACGGTACATGTGCTGGATCTGGACCACAGATGACAAACACACAAACACACAGTTAATTAGTTGACCTAATGACATGACCTGCTGAGTCTATCACATATCTTATAGAGGATGCCAACCTTCTCTCCTTCCTCTAGGAGGCGCAGCAGGGAAGTATTGTCTGTCCTGTGCTCGTCCTCAGGGACACTAGACTCCAGTAGCTGTTCCTGAAGCTGCTCCGAACCATCGTCCTCACCGCCATCTGCTGTGGACCTTGACCTTTTTAATGGCGCCTTCACCAGGCCTACAGATGGATAACAGCGTGAAAGGGATTATATTTTTCGTACAAGAACACTTTTTTATTTGAATACATTTTGGGAATTTACTAACCTTTGACCCTGGCAATAGTGTCCTCTCCGGGCTCTGGCTCGTGAGGTGCCGCCTCTCCCTCTGTGTTCTGTTCCACCGAGTGCTGGTACATTCCAGGGTTCCCCGACAGCAGACGCATGTAGTACTCTTTACTGTCATAGCTGACGGCCCGGCGGTAGCGTTGAGGTTTCTGAAGCCAGAGCAAAGAGGGGGAAAAAACATTAGTATGGTAATAAAAATAAATAACACTGAGGCTAGCTAAAGTTTAGCAAAGAAATTAATAAATATAAGTTTAAGATATAGATTTTCCACAACTGGAACCAGTAAATTCAAAAGTGAACTCAACCCATACACAAAGAGTGTGTATAAATGTGTCTGCTGTACCCTACCTGGACAGAGGTGGCGTTGTTCTCTGGCTCAGGCATGTAAGGGTAGTGGATGTAGAACATGTCGTTGCGGACCATCTTTTTCCTCATGCGGCATGGTCCCTCAGTCATTTCCAGAACAAACTTGTCCAGGTGAGAACCAATGGGGGGACCCCAGAGTCCACGCTCACGCAGCAGCTCGTACTCCAGACACGCCCACTCCTCACTCACGTACTTCAGCGAGTTCTGCTGGCGCTGCAAGAAATTTTAGATTCAGCTTGAAGGTCAACTGTTCAGGAGTTTACAAAACGTGGTTCTTTGAATTAACTAACAAATACAATTCTACCTCCTGTTCTCTCTTTATTCTTACTGTTCAACAGACTTCTCTTGTTGACACCTTACATTTATAAACTACTCACTGTCCCATATCAAATGTGTTACTATGTCATAAGACCACAAGAAAAAACAAAACACTGAATTGCCCTGTACTGTGTCAGTACCTCCTGATGTTCTTTGTACTGTAATGCCACCAGATCTCTGACCACAGCAATATGTGTGAACATCCACTGGAAAGTCTCCTGTGGAACACACAGAGTGTCATATTGTTATCCCCATGTTGGTAAATGTGCTCGAGAGCATGCGTGTGTGCAGCAGCAGCACCTGTGCACTCAGGCTGTTCTTGTTCAGACTGTTCTCCTTCTTGTTGCGTCGGACTCCTGTGAGCTTGGACAGAGCAAAGCCGCTGCTGACTCTGGAGAGTTTGGACTGAGACGTCGGAGCCACGGCTTCACCGCGACTGATGCACTTCCTCTCATAGGCTACAGGGGCCACAGCAGAAAGGTAGAAAGGTAGTTAGAAACAGTCAAAGCATTATTTAATCTCACACTAATTGCCTAGGAAAACACAGGAAAGTCTGGGGAAAAAAATGCAACTAGCCATAATTGACCATCAACAGTCCTCATTTTTCTTTCTGTGTATCTCACCCAGATGGTTCTGCCAGCTCTTGAGTGCAGGTTCTTCTAGACCATGTCTGGCAGTGGCGATGTCCACGTGTCCTCTGTCATTACAGGGCAGGGACACTTTGAAAATGTCCTCCAACATCTGACGTTTGCTGTGCATCAGCTCTGTCCACACACGGTTCACCGCCTTCAGCAGCAGCTGCCGCCCTGCATGGGTCACATGATGAAATATCTCAAAGTCACTGTCAGAAATATGTTTGTGAAAAACCTTTACAACAATCAGTCTTTATATACCTTTTAATAAATCAATTATTTGTAAGATTTTTAGTGGTGTTGTTTTAGTTATAATTGTCTAAATTTAAGCAATACCTGTTTTTAATATTTAACTACAAACATTTTTAATTTGGCAAATGTGCAGCCGTTGGTTTTCTTTGTCAGATTAAGGGTAAACTGTCTATTTTTCTGAAAAAAAATTACTAAATCCGACATGTCTGTATTTTTTGTATGTTTAAAAACAGAACTTTTTCAAGGATTTTGTATGAACGTTGAGGAACAAACCTGTGTGAGTTGACTCACCTTCGCTGACATCATGGTTGTGTGCAGAGTCCGTCTCATTTTCTGAAGGGATCATGACATGCCAGGTGGTCATGCGGGCCTCAGCCTCCAGACCGAAGCCATCCATGCAGCTGCACGTACACATTCACACACAGAGAGAATGAGAGGGTCGCAGTCAACAGCAGCAACATTAGAACACAACACACCTCGTCAACATGGTAGCCATACCTCCCACTGTGCAGGCAGATGAAGCAGTGGGCCAAACATGCCACAAAGTCCTGGTCGTGGTTTCCTGGACCCAGAACCAGGTTCCTGTTCACTGTCAAGACTCGCAGGGCATCTAGTAGCGCCACCTGCTGAGCAACTGTCTTATGCGAACGACAAAGCTGATACAGAACAGTCCGGTTTAGACAGTGGTAGATTGTGTCCAAAGACAGACCCTGGGAACGGCGCTTAGACTGAGGAAAAAAGGGGAAAAAAAGAAGAGAAAGATATTTTCCTTCAGTTAGAAACTGCAAAAAGAACTTTTCTTCACAGCTGATCTGGACTAGACTGAGGTGAAAACATCAACAACATGTTTAAGCGGCAGCATTAGCATTAGCATCAGATATACTGAGATTAGGACTAAGAGATTTGTGTAAAAGCCTCCTGACAACAGAGCAAAACTGTTGAGGCCCAGAACCCACTGCCACTTTATTGGGAACACTTATATAACTCATGTAATCTCTGAAGAATTTCACTGTGAGTGTTTAAAACAGTATTCTGTGAGTTGAGCTTTTAGATACGGTTGTGCAGGACTCAGATGGACCTCTTTATATACCTGTCCTATGAGCTGGACGATGAAGTCAACCACCAATTTGGAGTCTTTGTTGAACATTCCCTGCCACAGTTTATCTACCACACGCTGGGTGAAATAGAAGACATTGTGGACCAAGATCTGGTAACTCCCACTACTGCTCAGAGGTAGTGACGCATCCTCACCTGTTGGGGGAGCGAAGGACGCAGAAATTAAAAAAACACAATGTCAAAGAAGTCTTTAAAATACATGAAAGAAAGTCAAATAAAAAAGACCATGTGGCATTCTCCTGACACTCTTTTACACCTTCAACTCAGCACTAGCACAGATAGCTAAAGGTTTTGATATAAATCTGCTCATCTAACAGCAGATAATACAAACAGCTAACAAAAAACATAAAACAGACATTATCATTGCAAAGATCTCAGATGAATAGTTATTGTGGTAATAAAAAGCTGATAGTTGTTGTTAACGGTTAACAGCCAACATAAAAGATAACAACTAACACTAACATATACATACATAACACTAATATGGATTGCAACATATTTCACTTGAATAAAGATCAGGTAGGACAGTTTGAGATTGCGTGAACAGCCAACAGCTAATCTGAACGTTACCTAACAGAACATCAGCAGCCAGCAAATGCTCCATGACTCCGTCCAGGACACTGGACTGAAACTCTTTCTGCTGTGTCCTGGTAGAACGCTCTGGTGATGCCTAATGGTTGAAAAAAATAAAAAAAATGACTCAACTTTGCAAAGGTGTCTTGCAGAAACCAAGACAGTAAATGTTTCCTCGTCCTCCTTCTCACCTCTAACAGAAGGTCAATGATCGGGGTCTGTTTGCTGGCTGGAGTCATGCACAGATTGTCCATGATCAGGACTCTCATGAAGTCAAAGACATACTTCTTGGCTGGGTGGTTGGTCAGTGAGGTCTTGGAACCGACGTTGCAGTACTCCGACTGACTGCGATTCATACCCGAGTCTCCAGTGAAAGCCTTGAACTCCTCGATGGGTGAACCTGCTTCATCATCCAGATCACTGACCTGGGAGAGAAGACAATTATCGATTTTTTGAATAGCTTAAAAAAATAACCAATTTTACCTTAACATTAGGTTAATAAGTAAAAGCTTTGCAGTTTTTTGCTATTTCCTTGCTATCTATATATCTATTGGCTACTGCACATAAAAAAGTAGTCATTTCTGGGCACACATTTTGGTAAATATTAGCAACTAAAATATCTGCTAGCTACTCCTAAATTAAGAAAGGTCATCTTTCTGACTTGGTTAAATAACTCTAAATAAATTCTGATAATAATATTAAATCATCATTTCCATCACTCAGTGATGTATTTTAAGCAAATTTACCAATAAATTCAGCAACATCAGTAACTGAACTCTCTGTGTACTAAGCAGACAGCCTCCTGTCTCCCCCAATGGTGCAATACACTCCTGCATTGCAGCAGAGCCGTTCGCATTAGCAGTTACATTTTGAGAGCAGTGAAAAAAAATTATTTAAAAAGATATTCTTATTAAACAATGTGCTTCGTCTCTGTAGAGCTTTAAAGTTGCAGTTCACAATTCAATCATTTTTTTAGATAAAAAACTATTACAAACAGACTTACCATTTCAGAGTAGGGTCTAATGTTGAAGGGGAAGACGGAGGCAGCCAAAGCACACAGGAAGTCTGGACTGTGCCACATAGACCCCAGGTCAGCTACGTTGTGGTACAGGTACCTGAAGAACTGCATTAATGTGACGGGGTATTCTCTGAGCCAAGAACCCTCCTCCTCCGACTGCCACGGCTTCAAGATGAACGAGGAAATACAACAACAAATTTGATGAACAAAAGTTCAGCCAAATTATAGTTAGTTGTATTGTCAAAACTTTATCTGTTAATCCCTGTTACATGTTTGACAGTCTGATACTGAAGTTCAGAATATGTACTGTAGTTTCAGTACTTGTGTGTCATATGGCATAGCATCATTTCTCACCAGGTTGAGCATGCTTCGGAGCATTGCTAGCAGCAGAAACGCAGCCTCAGTGCAGAAGCTGTGAATGGAGTTGAGCACCGTCCCACTGGAGGCTGGGATGCCAAAGATAAAGGTCCAGATGGAGTCGAGATCAAACTGAAGAAAAACACATTGTGCTGAAATTCACTCAGACACCCATTTGTATCACTGTTAATATTTATGGAACAAAAATGTTGAGATAGGATACATAAGAAGTTGGGTTTACTAACATGTACCTGCAGGCTGTCCGGCAGCTCCGTGATTGGTTGCTGCAGGAACAGCGCCATCAGCAGG